GTGATTTCCTAAAGGGCCACAGTCATCTCAGCTGTTTGGCCACGAATCTCAAATACTGCTGCCCTCTTTCCTGACCAGCACAACCCTCTTCTTGGATGCAAACACTGAGTGAACACTAAGCCACCATTTATTAATGCCCTTCTCCACATGGCTTCTGGTCCAACAGAAGTAAAAACCTGATATACTTTAATCATGCTACTTTTATTTATAACATATATACATAGAGAAGAGAAATAGTATTAAAAATATCAAAGTATCAAAGTAGATGCTTAGAGCAACCACCCCTCAGATTTCAGTATTCTTTGAAAGGAAGAACTATGTTCCAGCTTTAAAATCTCCCATGCTTGGCACTGTTTGTTATAAAGTTTGATGGAGGACTGGGATCTATTTCCATTCTGCAAACACAGCAGATAAACAACCGCCCTTGGCTCTACACTGTTTTCAGCAGCACCACCACTGCACTCAGCAAAACCCACCTTGTGTTCTGCAGAGTCAGACTGTTTCCTCTCTCGATGGGAAATTCTGACTGTCCCTCAGTTTTGTGCTTCTGTAACGTGCCCTTGCTTTGTACTATTCTTATGGGTATCTTTAAAAAAATCTCTGACATTCTCTGAATCCCACCTAAATTTAAATTAGGGACGGGGAAAGTAAGATCTACAAAGAAAACTGAAACGACAATGCATGGGAAACATTCTGGTGACATGTATTACTAGTATAATATAAACCATTACAGAAAGAAAAGAAACATGCTTCAGCAGCTTATTTTTAAAGTTTAAACACATGATAAATAAAACTCAAGGCTTAGGTATTTCACAGCAATATCCAGATAATATTATCTATTACTTCTACCTTGGTTGATATTAATCTTGTATTTCCACATACTGCCAGTGACATCTTTTCAGATCTCTGTCTATCCCTTTGATGGGTGATGGAGAAAACCATATGTGCGGATCCATATAGCAATGAACTTTCTAAGCCAAACACAAGAACAGAAGCATTCCAGGACAGAGAGGCTTGCCAAGACAAACAAGTTCTGCCAGCATTTTAACACCACAGAAGGTCAGTTAGGTTATAATTAAGTCTAATTACCATTTTCATGAATTGCAACATCTTTTCACTTGAAGGCACTTAGTGCTCAGAAAAAGATGATTTTCTATTTTCTGTTTTCTAAGAATCACAGTAATGAACATTCTAATCTTGGCTTTAAACCTGAATCATCACTTATCATCATAAAGAAAAAAGGCATGGCATCATTAAAAGGAAGAGACTCGTGCGGTTTATTTAACCACTAATACTTTCTCAGTGCTGCTTTTCCCTATTCCTCTGCAGTAATTTTACAGGTTTTCCCTCTTCTGTTCAGTACCACTCCGGATTTTTTTCATTATTCCACATTTTCTTTTTTCCTTCTTGCAGTTATATAACCTTTCTGCTTCACTTTAGCTCCCTATTTTTAATCCTTTATATATCTTCAGATCTTTCTCTTTGCTCCCCAGCCAGCTGGAGAATCTGACTGTAGTAGGCTTTCTTCTATTTCCACAGGCATGCCACGATTGCTGCGTTAGACAGAACTGCATTGGGAAACTGCCTGAGCTTATCTCATCAACGGAAAAGGTGAGATAAAAATTGGTGAAGCAAAGACATTTTTTTCTCCCCTTTTCCTTTTCCCACATGTCAACAGAAAGCAAAAGAGGAAAATAACAGGAGCCATTTGGCTGCTTCTCCTCTATCAGGAGTACAAAACCTGGTTCCTGCTCATTCTGGTCTCATTCAAATGAGAAAGAAGCTGAAAAGCCTGGTCTATCAAATGTCACCCAGCTCAACAGGGAGACCCTTCGGCACCCTCAGATATGGCTGGAGGCTGCAGTTTGATAGCTGGCGTCAGCTGCTGTTGCATGTTGCCACCCCGTACAAATGAGGGGAAAAAGCCTCTCTCAATTTCTAGGATGGCCCTCCAACAAAATGATAATTTGACCTCTCTGGAGGCTGGCAAGGAATCAAGGATTATTTGTTTTTAGACTCAAATAACAAACCTGGAAAACTGGAAGAACTGGTTAGCTTGTGGCACACTGTGCCCAGCAGCAAGGAGGTTTACAAAGACCCCCAACAGGGGCTCACATAAGCCGTGCTACCAAAGACAGCCACATGCTTTGGTCTAGCACTGCTCTTTGTGCTAAGCATCACTCTGAATCCAGCCCTGTTGCTGCAGTGCTGGTCCTAAAGCTGTCAGGAAGGGCAGTATGCAATTAGCAGTCCTGCCCCCCACACGCTGCCTGCCTTCCTCCCTCCCATTAATGCTCTCTTCATTACCTCCTCTCAACTAAAAAGATGAGGCACATCTTTCTGACAGTCACTTTGTGTCTCAGCGAAGCGAGAAGCGCTGCCTGTGGGCTGCCTGCTACTCCCACTTCATTTTTAAAATGGAACATACAGAGCTATTGCAGAAGCAGGGCCTTCTGTAAGCACAGGACCCCTCCTTTTATTAGTCATGTTTTATTTCCTCCAATTAAAATCTTGCTAATTCTCCCTGATCTTACCCCTTGAAACAGAAATTTATTCTTCTGGTGAAGAATTCCACATACCAGAAAAGATGATTCTGCATTCTGAGGGAACCACTATTTCTCAATATATGTATGGCCTACAAAATAAGTTTCATTTTCCCTTGCAAACGTCAAAAGTCTGGGTAACAAAAAAATCTTTTGAATGGTTTCTAACGTTTTTCTTTTGAAGTTATCAAAGCAAATTTCACTAAAATAAACCCAATTATTCTCCTGCCATAGGCTACCACCTTATACGGTTGTAGTCTCATACAGCAAATAGTCTCTTAATAAATAAAAGGGGTATTTTCAGTCATCATACGGTACTTCAAGTTTCACCTGTCCTACTGGAGATTCACATGTCATCAGGGAATGAAGATGCCACTTCACTTAGCAACCCTTATGTCATGCAAGGATTTTTATTGTAGGTGGGGCAAAATATAAATCCACAGCACCTTTTTGTTTAGTTCCAATTATATTCATCTCTTCATCTATACACTTAATTTATCCTCCCACATATTATTCATGCCTGTAGCTCTACAAAAACATGTAGACTGAAATCCCTGACCCACTAAAGTTGCTGGGAGTTTTGCAATGGACTTCCAGAGCTTGGATTTTAGTTTCCCTTCCCCAGCTAATACAGTACTTCTCTGATCACTTTAAATACAGTTGTTTCTGTTTTCAGTCTTGCTGGGTTGAAAATCATCTGTGGTGTGAAAGGATTAAGCTATTTTTCTGTAATTTACAATGTGAAAGATGGTCTCAGCATGTTTTGGGCTAGAACAGAGTCTATGGTTATGTTTGCTTGGCAGTTCAGCATCTTATGACTGTCCCTGTTACGTCTACAAAATTCAAACTGTCTGTTGCTGAAACAATCCCTCACAACCTACTGCTGTACATATAGCCCTTGAACTGCATATTACAAGTTCAAATGACATAACAGGTTTACTATTTCAAGGTCATTTGGTACAGGTTAAGTGAAACTCTGGAGTTAAACTGGTTCAAATATTAGTTCAATTACAGTTTCATATACTGTCACCTAACAAGGTGAAAAGTCCATACAAATCATAGAATAGAATCATAGAATAGTTAGGGTTGGAAAGGACCTCAAGATCATCCAGTTCCAGCCCCCTTGCCATGGGCAGACACACCTCACACTAAACCATGTCACCCAAGGCTCTGTCCAACCTGGCCTTGAACACCGCCAGGGATGAAGCATTCACAACCTCCCTGGGCAACCTATTCCAGTGCCTCACCACCCTTACAGTAAAGAACTTCTTCCTTCCAAATAACGGTGGAGTACCAAGCAAAACCCTACAGCTTGTTCCTTTGCTCCCCAAACCAGAAATCCATAATCTAGAGATCCACCACTTATTAGCACACATAGCAGAGTATAGCCTGAGCAGACGGTTCAAAGCCAACTGTCAATCCATTTGCAGTTCAAACCAGTGGTGAACTCCTCCAGCTGTTTTCCGGATCAAAAATATTATTGTCATTTTGCTATCACTGCATGCTGTGGGTTATGCAACAAAAATGCACGTGTCCCTCTGCCTGGAATGCAGTTAATTTCCTCCCTCCCCACTGAGAGTGGTAAGTAACAATTCAGACTGTCTGGATGCTTCAGTTTTGAGCTTGGCCAGAGATGCGACCCTGGAATTACTCCATGGGGTAAAATGCTGGAGGTCTGACAGACAGGGCATATTTTGCAGGGCATATTTTGCAGTTTGAAAAAAATAAGCACTTTTGTCCTGTTTATACATGACCTCTTACTGTCTGAAGGGTACTGTGATGTGAATGCTTTGCTGTAGATTCTTCAGTTTAAGCATACGCTTTGCTTTATGTTGGAATACTGAGTATTCTAAATAACTAGATGAAATAATTGCTTGTATTCTGAAATCAGCCACTCTATTTGATGTATACTTTGGTATGCAAAAATAAGGCATTGTACTCTGTTAACTTTAAAATAGCAGCATAATCCCATTTTGATTTGCAAATATCTAAACATCACGCAGGCGGTTAAATTCAGACTCCGTTATGCTCAACCACTTCATGCAATTTGCTTATATAAAGAGAACAACTGGAACTCCTTTGCTTAGAACAGTGCACTCCAGAAACAGAACTAATTTCCTCAGTGCAATCTTTTCTGCAACGTGCCTTTCATCTTTGTAAGTGCAGCTAACCCAGTGGTATTTATATATCAACTACATGATCAGAAAGACAGGAGCTGTCTTTCTCTATAAAATGTTTGCACCGTACTTAACATCTCTCAGTTCTTCCTGTGATATAAATACAAAAGGGTGATCAACTGTATGCTTGGGTGTCAACTGAGATGAAACATTAACTTAATACTTAACTGCAGCAATTTCCTTTAATGTGTTATTACTTGGTCCAGCTTGTTCTGGGTTTCTGGCACAGTTTACAGCTTACTCCTGTGGGGAGCACCTGCAGTGGTTTTACTAGTCCTACCTGGTTAAATAGGCCAGAGCCAACTCACATCCTGACTGCTTTTTGGGCTCCACCTTTTTGATAGAGATCCCAGCTTCCCTCATCAGCTGCTTTTCCTTCTTCTTGCGCTCTTTTTTTAATTTTCTTTCCAGTTTCCTCTTTTCCTCTGCAGTAAGTTCTTCCTCTTCTTCCGTTGCCTGAAAAAAACATTTAAATCAAGTATTAATATTTCTATAGGAAAGTGAAAATAATATGCATAAAAGCAATTATGCCTACTTTGCACATGCAATGAAAGGACACAGATAATACTTAAAACCAGAAGCTTCAAGGTTCATCATTTTACTGTTCATTATACTTCCATCACCTCTTTACTCTGCTCAATTCACAGGACTGTAAATACTGCACTTGAAGAAGCCTTAGAACTGCCCTCTCCAGATGACTCTACTGTTCTCAGCAGTATGGTAACTGGAGCACCTTCTAGCTATATATTAAACATACCTAATATTGGTTGTGCAAAGCCCTGTGTACCTCGGGAAGCAGGAGGGATTTGGACGCTATGAAGCCATCTCTTCTGCACTACCTCCCAGTAGCAACCAAGCAACCAAAAGTATGGAATTCTTCAAACAAGACTCTTTAACTGGCCTGGTCTTGCTTTTAGATACTTCTAAGTCCAAGACGGGTGGTGCTACTTAGCTTATATGATAGTTACAGATCTCAGAGAGTCCCAAAGAAAACTTTGATACCTTCACCAAAGGTATCAAAGGTGCTTCTCAGCCACCTCCATGGTCAGGCACTACCATAAAATGCAGGCTAAAGGTATGCAGAAGGACAGTAATGATTTGTGAATAACTCCATTAACTAATCCACTTGCTCAGCAACAGTTACCAGGTTCAGTAAGACAACCTGAGCAAGGGACAGCTTCCTGCAAGGCCAGACTACATTTGTAAGAAAATGGGATCTCTGGGTAGGGGAAAACTACCCACTGACAGCAGTGGAAATGGCATGGATGTAAGGTGGCCCAGGAAATGTCTACCTTATCTGTACACAAATGGGCTTTGAAGCAGACTACTATATGACAGGGACAGAATAATGGGAGACTGCACGTGAGTGTTTGTTTTTTAAATCCATAATTCTTCTGCTCAAAATAAATACAGTACATTTTGTGGTGTTTCTGCCAAATCTGCACGTCCCTTGGACGCTTCAGCTACAAACTGATGGAGTATACACACAGAGACAAGCGAGGCAATCTGAAGGAACCACCCAGGCCTACAGCAGCTGTGTTAGCATCTCACATCCCAAGACTGGGGAAGATAAAGGAATTTAACCACCACCTCCAAGAACAATGATTTTGTTCACAGAGTGGACTTAGTTCAGATGCAGCAGCTTTACTTGCTTTGTACTTGCCAGGTGAGCACCTCTGCTAGAGCATTGGAAACCCACGGTGGCAAAACTGAGTGGGAGAGAAACATTCTTCCTCCTCTCCCTGCTCCCTCCTCACCTGGACTAGGAAACCATAACTGCAACCTGAATGCACAAGAAGATCAATTGCTGTATGGAAAAACTGGCTGAAGCTGCCATATAAACTCAAAAATCTTTAGTGTTTGTTATATCAATTTGTGTTAGTCGAATGAAAAACCTGACATGTTGCTCTTAACAGTATTCTTGCTGATGTTCAAGCAAAGGGCAGTTAAACAAGGCAATACCTGAACACAAAGACACCTGCTGAGGACTAATATTTGTTCAGTGTCAATTCATGTATTGTCTAACTTTAGTTTGCCTCATCTTTTCAACTTTCTGTTTTCAAAGACCAGAAAAGGCCAATAAAGCAGAACTTCGAACAATTGCGCATGGGACAGTAAAGAGAATTTAGGGTGGGTTTTTTTTGTTTAAAATACTTGCAAGCTACTTTTATGGAAAAACCAGTATTCCTGTGCAAACCCATGCAAAAACCCAACACACGTTCCATTTACATAGAAGACATTTTCTAACTCGTGCTGAGGACAAAATAACATTTAGGGTGAAGGTAGGTATGTAACCGTTATACAGGAAGCAATGTTTTCAGTTGAAAAGCCACCCTGGTCCTTACTAAAACAAGAACGCAGCCGCACAAAGCCCAGGAAAACACTGAGGGTGGTCATTTAGAAAGTGTTTGTAGAAGATGACTGCGGCAGCTGCCCAACAGACGACACGCTAGGGTTAATCTTCTTTTAAAAATCATGTAATGAATTCGTTTACTTTTCTGTGAGCCATGAAGCTTTCAAATAAAGTGACTGTGGCACATCATTAGAGCTGGCCTGATAAAGAGGCCTCTGCTTCTTCATACTTACAGTAAATGCGTATCTCTGTACCTTCCCTTCCCCCCTGCATTCCTGGCATTAGCAAAAAGCTTTTTATCCCTCTCGCCAACCGCTCCATTAAAAACAAAACAAGTTGCTCCCTGCCTGTAGGTCCCAACATAAATACCGAGCCCTAACAACATTTGTTTCCAGCATCGCAGTGGATGCAACTGTGGGCTGTCTGAAACAAGAGAACTGTTCTCCCTGTGAGGCTAATGCTGTCCTGGGCATGAAAGAGTTAGGATTTACAGTCCCTTCTGCTAGCCCACAGCATCATCTAAGGAAAATCGGATTCATCAGGCTTCTATCTGGGACTCCCAGCACACAGACTGTGAAAGCGTTTGCAAACCTACAGCTCAGACAGCTTTTCTAGTTGCAACTGCACTTTTACCCATCCATGCCAACTTGATTTAATCCAGCAGTCCATACGACAATCTGTCCTTGACTGGCTTTTTATTTGAAAGCCTCAATTTTTATGCGCTTCATAAAACACCTACATTTGGTGGCACATTCTCCACGGAAGCTGAGGGCAGTTTTATAACAATTCATAAAAGAACAACACAACCAAAACCAACCTTCCCCAAAACCTGGGACTCAGAAGAAAACCAAACCAAACCAAACCTTTCGCTGGGATTTAAAGCCTAGTTGTATTTATTTTAGCTTGGATGATCTCTGATACTCTACTGGTGCATCTCTCTTATTTAAATCAACAGCCTTGTTTTTCAGTTTTGCTTTCCCTGAACCATTAGTGTGTCCAAAGTTTGTGATCCACTTGCATTAAGAATTCAAGTATTATATCATTATTTAAATTTAAAAAAACCCCAGCCAACAGCACTTCATTGTTCCGAGGTCATAAATATCCCATGTTGTCTCCTTCTATATTTATAAAGTGACATCGCAATTTGTAGTGCTACCATTTAGTCTTAACTACAACATTGTAAAGTCCGTATTTGAGCGTGAGACACTTGTTTATTGACGTGATAAATTTAAACCACATGCATGCAGAAAAACACAACACTTGCTTATTTGCAAAACCTGCTGAGAGCTACCACACCACCTTGGATCGTGGGCTCATTAGATCTCAATCTAAACAGGGTCAGGCTAGGTCAGCACACTTGAATGAATGACATTCAGAGGAGAGCCAGTGTTCTCTCGTGATTAAGGAGGTGGGAGTCCTCCACTTGGACACTTTCCAGAAGCCCTGAAAAGGTGCTAAAAGGAGTATTGCCACTGGATGCCATATTGTGAGTAAAAGACAGACCCCCAAATCTTTAACGCTCATGCTTATGAAAACCCATATCACCTTCGCAAGGGTACAGAGCTATCAGCTCAGACACTCCAAAGTTCATACTATACCATGTCCATCTGCATACAAAGAGCTGTGACTGCCAACCCAGTGCCCTTCATCAATGCCAGCCTCTAAATTTCTGAATTGTATGTAAACACAGTAATATACTGTAAATAGCCTAAGACATCAACTAAAAATATCTGGAGGCTTCAGCTGTGGCAGTTTTAGATACCAGTTAAAGGTTTCCATTATTCTTTATAATGTGGAAATACTGCACAAATTTAAAACATTTTGTAGGTGATCTTTAGTAATGAGCTTACCCGTACCAAAGGGGGAACCATCTCAAACTGCAGTAAAGCATTTCCTAGTGTAAAGTAGTGCTTGCTAAGCGATTCAGAACAGAGAAAAATAACTGCAAGAGAACCTGGCAGAAGGATGTACCCAAGACAGGATTTCTTCCAGTTATCAGACCCCTTTTTCTGCAAACGAAAGAGTGTCAAAACCAAACAGATGAAGCTTTTCAGAGACTGCATCTGCATAAAAGCTTTTAGTGCCAGAGGACTATGAACCGTAATAGCTGGGTAACCAGTACCAAGATGGTATTAACAGCACACTAATTGTATTATGTTTCAGCAGAGCAATAAGTGCATTTTTTAATCTGTTTCCAGATTCATAGTTACCCAAATGTTCTTGGCTCCATACTTGAGTAAAATTGAAGACATCTTCTAAAGATTTCTGTTCCTCCTTCTGGCTCATCACTTCCAAAAACTCCTAAATTTGCATCCCCAGTTTTCTGCTGCCAGCAAAGAATAAGCTTGACAGAGTCAGAAATTCTGAAGAAATCCCACAATGAACTGAATACTCATTTATTACAAATTTGCCTTTGGGATTCGTCTGTGTAGGTCCGTCTGAGCTTTCCGCCTGCTCAGGGGGTTCAGCTTCTCTGCCAAACGTACAGCAGTAACCACAGACCAAGCCACAACACCAAATTTACTACTTATTAGTACCAGTGAATCCAGCTCCTCCAAAAGCCAACAGACTTTTCTACCAGCACAGCCACACAAGTCTGTACCACAGCAAAGCAGGCAATATCAGAAATTCAGAGGAGTAAATTATAACTTGACTGACGAATGTATAAAAAGGGCATCAAATGTCTGAACTCCAAGGAGAAAGAGGTGGGAATGGACGATATGGCTTAATTCCTAGTAGGAGCACTGTACCGCCTTGTTTGTTCATTAAGTTCACGTTATTTCATAACTTTTAATACAGAGAAATGTCAAAAGGGGCTTTGTTCACTGACCACGAGCTGACGTGGAGCTACCGACCCGTCACGTAATGGCTTCGCTGACAAGCAGCCTTTTGCCCCAAAAATACCCTGTGCATGATATCAGCATGCAAAACGTCCTGTTTCTGTCTTACACAATACATTTGATCCCAGATAAATAACTGGCCATCTGCCAGCTTAAAAACAAAAAGTGGAATCTATAAACAGTGTTCAAAACCTACAAAGAAGAAAGGCTGGCAAACCTTTAGATGCAAGGTTCATAAAAGAAAGATTGACAAATGATTTACT